GTCATTACTAACTGCCACATCATTATTAACGTTTTTTATTATTCCTTACTTTTGTTGTTAGAATTGAGTAGGTAGCGTGTATTGTCAAGTTTCTGAGCTTTCTGTATGCATTTCTTTAAAATGTTTGTATATTTGTAATATATTTTCTTATTTCTTTTTTTGTTTGCTGTTGAAAGGCGGTATTTCAAATATAAACGTCTTTTATTAATGCTACATTTTTAATACCCCTTGTAATCCATTTGTTTTTAATAGGTTTATTTGTTATTTTTACAATTATTTTAGGGAAACACAAATTATAAAATAAGGTCAGAGTATCATGAAAGTAGTTGAAAGCCAAGTTAGTATCCTCGGCCTCATATACATAAGCAAATGCTGTAATAAGTAAGTAATAGGGCTGAAATATAGTACACAAATTTTTCACGTTTTCATTACGAAGGTCTCTTTTTTCCTTATTTTGTTATAAGTACCATATATACATTCATATGCATTTAGTAAACAGCTGTTTTAACATTACAAACAGACACTTCAATTTTATTTATTTGTATAGATTAGTGACCCGACCACAGCTTTCACGTATAATGCCAATGATCTTAAAAAATATTTCAGTGTAAGTAGACCTCCCAGTACTAGTGACTGCCTACTAATGCAAGATGAGCATATATACTGATTATTAGTTTAACACTTAGTTGATAAAAGAAAGAGATTAAAAATAGCAGCACTTCTCGTTGCCACTATTTCATTAATAATGAAGTTGCGTGTCGCAGGTTTGTAAATAGCAAAAAATGTGTAACAGACAAGTGACGGCTCCGTGGCGCAGTGGCTTAGTAATGAGTTGCAGCGCTAAGAGCCGCGGGCTCGATTCCCGGACGGAACAAGTATTTGTATGGCCTACAAATAATTGTTCTGGGTCTGTTCTATGTATGTAAACTGTCCCCGCGACACGGGAGAAAATGCTAGTGTGGAGGTAACTTTTTTAAAAAGAGAAAGAGAGACAACTTATGGAATTAAAAATGTTGTACAACCGACTTCAATTGAACATTCTTGATCAAATTTATATGGGATGTATAAATTATAAGCACCAGCTTTCAAATTAAAATCGATTCACCTAGAAAAAAGTTCTGAGGCAACACACATAAAAAAAAAGTCGAATTGAGTACCTCCTCCTTTTTTTTGAAGACGGTTAAAAATGGTAAGTAGGTAAATTATATGAGTTTCAAAGACATTCACATTGTTATAATCTTAATGGTGCACGTGGCGCAGTGGCTTAGCAATGAGTTGCAATGCTGGGGTTCGAATCCCACAGGGAACAATTATTTGTATGGCCTATAAATAATTGTTCCAAGTCTAGATCTTTGTCCTTATGCAATTTATGTTTGTATAATGCCTCCACGATACAGGAGAAACTCATAGTGTAGGGGTATCGTTATTTTTTAACAAAATCAAAAAAAATACTAATATTACACATAACACCTAGGTGTATTCTACTATATACCAACTAATATTAAAGAATTTAATAACTAATATTAAAAAATTCAATTTGTTTTCTCCCAACACCCTACAGTAGGGGCGATCTTAACAAAGGCACGTAACGGGCTAAGAGATACAGACACTCGTACGCGGATGGGTGCATTTTGATTTAATATGCTTGCCACATAATTTTTTTTTCGACAAAATAAACGCGCTTCAGAGGCGTGCAAAGTATTATGAACATTAGCGACGTTGTAACTATATTTAAACTCGCAAGTTTGCTATCAGAAAGTGATCCTTCTGTTCTTGTACTAATATTTATTCTGTTTATTCTGTGGTATAACGTAGGTCACTTTTGTGATATCCATTCTTTTACTACACCATTATCAACACTGGCACTCGTTTTCCCACCGACGATAATGTGCTAAGCCTGGAAAAGTTGAATCTAACTAGATGAGCAAACAAAATCTTCACCAAACACTGAGCAAAATCATTTGCTTTTTGCTGGAGAATTGGTTCATTTATTGGCACATTATTTGTCCTTTGATATTTAAACCACTTTATTATTATTATTATTTGGTCTATTTGGCCCTTGGTATTGTGATTATGTCACAATAATTCTGCCAATGTCCGGTCTTTGGTCTGTCGCACCTTGTCTTTAGGCTTTTCGGTGGAAAAGGAGTTAGCGGTTATTAGGTGAAAATATGGATAAAAACAAAGCAACTAAATACATAAATTATGGACCACACAATATAGAGCAAACATCTAGTTATAGGAGAGAATTAGCCTGGGCAGGGAATAGAGAATTAGTTTAAGCTAAATTTAGTACACGATAATTAGAGTTTAATATTATACATTTGAATATATTTTGAGATCATATTGACATATATGGAATTGGGGATAGTTAAGAGGGAATTGATATTCATTGGTCGAGGGATTGTGTTGGGAAGAATGTCATATAAAGAAATTGGGTGATTTTGGCAATTAAAGAAAATGTGGTCTGGGGTACCTTCATCCAGTCCACATTCACAGAGGGAATGATCTTTGATTCTAATTTTAGCTAGAAATACAGGAGTGCAGGCATGCCCAAGCCTTAAACGGCAGATTGTAGATGTGATTTGTTTGTTCAAAAAGCTAAATTTAAAGAACCAAGGTTTTGGAGGGATTTGGGGTTGAATTTTACCAAAGTGACAACCTTTAATATGTCTGGATGTGCTCCATTCTCTGTTCCAAGAGTTCTTTAATTCAATTTGAGCTAATGACATTAGATCATGAGAGTAAATCATTAAATGAGAAGGACAGCCAGTATCAACAGCTCCTTTGGCCCAAGAGTCAGCCTGTTCATTTCCTTCTATACCACAATGACTAGGAATCCACACAATCTCCACATCAAGCCCACTCTTATTACAATTTAGTATGAGTTCCTTAATTTTCAGTATTAATGGGGAGATGGAATTCATTTTAAATATATTGCTCTGTAATGACATTAGGCAGCTTTTTGAATCAGTAAATATAACTGACTTAGGAATTTTATGGGAAAGAATATAGGAAATAGCCTCATATATGGCTACAGCTTCCCCAGTAAAAACAGAAGCTTGAGGAGGACATCTATAATTAAGGACAATTTTGTATTTGGGGATCCAGACTGCGGAACCGACACATTTGAATGGAGACAATTTGGAAGCATCAGTAAAAATATATAGCCAATCAGACCATTTTTTTGCCACAAGGTTGTAGAAAGTTCTGTTTGCAGTGGGGGAATTTTTATTAATGTTTAAATTCAGAGTGATTTTAGGGTTTATTAATATAGCTTCATAGCTGGTTTCAAAATAGGGTAGAATTAGGGATGTTACACAAGGATAACCAATATTTTTTAATCTATTTAGAGATTTAAGAATAGGGGGCCAGCTTTTATTAAACCAGTAGGAGTTGTTTACAGCTAATAGTAGCAAGGATTCTAGTTTACGATGTAAGGGGTGAGATGATAGTTGTAGAGTTTTTGAGAGAAATCTATCAGCTAGAAACTGTCTTCGTAAAGAGAGAGGGGGATCAGCACATTCTACTTGTAAGGCATTTTTAGGAGTTGATTTCATTGCGCCTGTGATAATACGTAAACATCTTGTTTGGATAACATCAAGTCTATTAAGGGCCGATTTGTTGCAGGGCTCCAAAAGAAAAGAGCCATAGTCGAAGTGACTGCGGATGATGGCATTGTATAGGATTTTTTGACACATGGGGTGAGAACCCCACCATACGCCTGAAAGGGATCTAAGAATATTAACACCTTTCTCACATTTGTCACAGATGTAATTAAAGTGAGCAGTACCAGTCATATGACAATCTAAGAAAATACCTAAAAATTTTACTTTGTTAACAACTGGAATAGATTCACCATTATATGAGATATCAATAGTAGGGAAAACACGTTTTCTACTAAAGGTTATTGTTTTGCTTTTAGAAGCTGAAAGAGAGAGGCCATGGTCAGTAAGCCATTGATTAAGATAATATAAGCCTCTGTTAAGATGATGGGAGGCAGTTAGGATATCAGGAGCTGTTACATAGATAGCAAGATCATCTGCATATTGTAATATGTCACAGAAAGATGAAATCGAATGTTCAAGGTCATATGTGTAGATATTGTAAAGAATAGGGCTTAAGACCGAGCCCTGTGGTAGACCCTTCCAGATTGTTCTGGGCGAGGTTAACATTCCTTTATTGCGAATTTTGATAGATCGTCCCATGAACAGATTGTAAATGAAGTGTACAGTCTTCGCAGGGATGTTCAGATGAAGCATTTTCTGCCTGAGCACTGGAAGAAGAACACTGTCATAGGCAGATGATATGTCCAGGAAACAACCCACCAAGTATTCATTTTTAGAAAAGGCCAACCTAATATCTGTAGTTAGGATGCTCAAACTATCTAAAGTGCTTTTACCTTTACGAAAACCAAATTGACTTTTTGCAAGGATGTTATTATGTTCCAGAAACCATTCAAGTCTGTTTTTAATTAAATGTTCTAAAATTTTGCAAAAAGTAGATGAGAGTGCGATTGGGCGGTATGAAGAAGCTTCTTTGTGATCTTTTCCGGGTTTAAGGATAGGTATAACAATTTGGTTTGACCAAGACAGAGGAATATTAGATGATATGTAGATATTGTTCAGAATTTGGAGAAGAACTAATTTACCTTTAAGGCTTAATTTACATAAACACGCATAGGGTATGCCATCTTCTCCTGGAGAAGAGGATTTTAAGCCAGATAGCACAGACTGTAATTCGGACAATGAGAAGATTATCTCATTATTGTTGATGTAAGACGGGACTGGAATGGGTGGGCATATTGTATATTCATTAGGGACAAAAGGAGGAGCTAACATATCAGAGAAGACTTCTAACCATGGTAAAGAGTTATCAGAAATGTTGGAATCAGAAAGAAGGGAGCCACGAAATTTTTTTATATTTTTCCAAACTATTGTTACTGGTGAATTAGGGGACAAGGATTCACAAAATTTTTTCCATCCATTTTTTTTCTTTTTGGAAAGTAGTCTCCTTGTTTGAGCGGAGGTTTTTTGAAATTGTATAAAATTATCGGTTGTCATACAGTGATTATAAAGCTTTTCTGCAGCTTTTCTCCTTTTAATCATAGTGGTGCACTTAGCATCCCACCATGGAGGGGAGGATAGGTTCTTGCTGTGGGGTTTTTTGGATGGGATAAATAAGTCAGCTGCTTCAGTTATATATTGTACCAATAGAGAGTACGAAGTTATTGGGTTGGTTGAGAAGTCAACCTGCATTTGCGCAAATTTAGTATCTAAAAATTTAGTGAAATTAGTCCAATCTGCGTCTTGTAGCTTATATTTAAGGAGGGGCATAGTAAAGGGTAAAGGAATAACCGCATTGGGTTTGGTAATAAGAATGGGAAAGTGATCACTTCCATATGATTGATTGAGGGTTTTCCAAGAAAGCTGAGGGGCTAGACTAGGAGAACAAGCTGTTAGGTCGACAGCAGACCTAGGGTCTAGTCCTGGGTATACTCTATGAGTGGGGGAACCATTGTTGATAATGCAAGCATTAATGTCTTCAAAAATTTGTATAAGTTCTGAAGAGTATATGTCACAAAAATGTGACCCCCAAGATACATGATGTGAATTAAAATCACCGGTAATAATAAAAGGGGGAGGTAACAAAGAGAAGAGAGAGGATAGTTCTTGAATTAAGTGGGTATTTGGATGAGGGATATATATTGAAATAATGTTGATTCCTGCAATTTTTGCAGCTACGGCATTAATGTGTTGGCTATGAGGAGGGAGTGCAATTTGAGAGAAGGATAGGGATTTTTTTATGAGTAAGCAACAACCACCATAACCATCATTTCTATCTTCACGGAGGCAAGTAAAGCCTTGCAAGCGAAATTTGGAGTTAGGTAGGAACCATGTTTCTGAAATTGAAGCAACAGAAATTGAATGTTTATTTATTAGGAAGATGAGTTCAGATTTTTTAGGTTGCAAGCTTCTACAGTTCCATTGAAGGAGATGGAGGTCTTTTGTTTGAGTCATTTATATTATCTATTAAACTAGCTAAATTAAAGATTTTTTCTGCAACGTTGTTCGGTAGTGAATCTGACATTTTCAAAATTAAATTATTGAGGAGGGAAATTAGGCATTCAACAAGATTTTCATTTGGAGATATTTGGTTGTGCGTGTTGGATAAAGCGCATCCATTTGGAGTAGAGGATGGGCAGTCTGCAACTATTCTTTGATGAGCTTGTTGGTCATACCCCATGGGAATTCTAGGTATGGGGCGGGGAGGTTTGAAGATGGTTTTTCTATATGCCTGTGACATGGTGGGGAGGTTGAAGGAAGTAGTAGGAGTAGGTGAAAGCTGAGTAGAGGCCACTTCGGAATACGGTTTTTGAGGATTGTTCAATCGGATAGATGGGATTTTGGCTGAAGCTTCTATATAGGATATATTTTGTTCTGACATCATAACTTTGATAGAAATCTGCCTTTGGTGTTCCGGACAGTTTTTGTTATTAGCAAAATGATTTTTGGAGCATAACAGACAAGTGGCTTCACTTTCAGGAACAGAACAACTTGCTCCAGTATGCTCTTGGGCACAACGGAAGCAGCGTGGTTTAGAACGGCATTGATCTGCTATGTGGCCAAATCGACAACAGTGTTTGCACTGGATGGAGGGGAGTTGATAAGTTTCAACAGCAAGGGATGTGTAAAATGCATATATATATTTGGGGAGTAACTGACCTTCAAATGTCAGAACAATAGATTGAGTGGGAACCCATATTGGGGATGTTGACCCTTCAGCAAAAGTCTTTCTCTGAAGACGGCGAGCTTTTAGGATTTTACCACAACCAGGAGGAAGCTCAACAGCTTCTGCTAGTTCTTCCATTGACCAATCCACAGGGATACCGCGGATGACACCCATTCGTGAAACATTATAGGATGGAATAGTTGCAATCAATTTTTCTTTTGCAAGCATTGGATTATTGAGAAATTTATTAGCCTCATCGGCTGAGCAGAATTCAATAGAGATGCGATTTCTGCCAACGCTTTTGACTCCCCCTCTTTTGATGTTTTCTATTTTATTTTTAGACAAGCATAAACCTATTTTAATTGGTCGAAGTGATAGCCCTATTCTAGGATCTGACGTAGCCCGGGAGATGTGGACAATAAAAGGGCCTTGGTCGTTTGGACCATACATTCTAAGATTTTGTTCTAGGCAGGGATGTTTATATATTGTGTTTATTGACGCTGTTAAATCAATTACAGAATTCTTTTTATATATTACTGGATCAAATGATCGAGTCTCAGCGTGTCTTTTTTTACCACGGCCACAATCATTATTGTCACTTACTCCAAAGCACATGTCTTCATCGGGAGGGTCAGGGGGTTTCTCACGAGGAGACCCCGTTTCGTCACCCATAATTGGGTTTAATGTTCGAAATAACTATAACTTATAAACGTAGACTTACAGCAGAGGAATCCACCACCACAAAATAAGGAAATTAAGGAGAATTAACCAAATACCGAAAAGCACTCACAAGTACGTGTTAACCATTCGACCGTTGGCCATAGACCACCTAAACCACTTTAACAAAGCTTCCTCAATTTACATACACTTTGTTCTTTGAATTATTTCTCTCTCTTTCTAAATGGTTGAAACTGTCGAGTGTGTTACACCATATTTCTTTGCCAAGCCTTTGTTTGGAATTCCACTCTCTAGCTTTGATATAATATGCAATTTTTCTTTGATATTGATTTGTTAAGATTTAAGCTTAAGCTTGGTATGAATCTATGTAATGGAATTTTTGAATGTGATTTTCTTCACCTTCAAAACAATGGATTGATTTGAAACTTCACACACTCATCAAGGACTGATGACAGTGCAATAATTTAAATAGTTTGTTCCATTATCCTCATGATTTGCAAATAATTCATAAAACAACTACAATTTCTGCCAGTTCAATCTACAGTAAGCTGCGTAAAAGAAATTAATTCCAAAAAAAACCCACCCACCCTTTTTTATAATAAAATTAATTTTTTATGTTAATCACTATTTTCTTATTTTAAACTTATTGAAAATTATTTTCTACTTTTTAGTTCGGTTATATACAAAAGTGTGTTTTTAAACTATTATTTATTTTCCTTTTCATTGGGACATGTTAAACGTTTTACAATAAACTCAACAATATGCTTTGGTGTGTCTTATGTACAGATAAGTAACAAACTGACTGAATAGATGACAGAAGGCTTTAATTATACTGCTTGCACATGTATTTTATTTCTGAGAATTACAAAAGACCCTAAACTGAACACATTTTTTAATAGTCATTGAACATTTTATACAATACGTCTAATCTTTCTAACAGATACAATTCTCCAAAAATATTAATTGTATGTAATTGAGGTATGTTGAACAATGTCACAAAAAGCAGTGTTTTCTACACGGCGATTATATAGCATTCAGCCGGGAACTATGATTTGGTCAATGTAACCAGTATGTTGTTCCAAACAATGTCATCGTAAATGGTTTTAACTGTATTATTCATTTATTAATTTCATTAATTATATCAATGTATATGTTAAAGATGGTTATTTCACATTGTTTTATAAAATATAAGATGGCAGATTCTTACATAGCAAACTTAATCATCACATTAAAAGAGTAAATAAAAATAATAGATTGTAATAAATAATATAGAAACTAACCTGACTCAAAACTGAATATATCCCTTTCAAATCCATATCTTCGTAAAGAATGAAGAGGCCAAACAGTAGAGTCTCTGCCCTCTCTGTATAGTATTATATCTGACTCTGTGATCTCTAACTGACCTGAACAAAGGTCTACTTTATTCTCATCAATATTTATCACACGAAAAAGATTTGGATGTAAATCGGAAACCTCTTTTTTACTATGGAAGCACCCCATTACTATATTCTTATCAAAAATTTAGTTATAAAATTCTGAAAAACAAATAATACAAAAAGTATTACAACTATATACATTAACATTCAAAATATTTCACTGATATATAAGGTAATTAAAAGCTGAAAGCCACTATCATTGTACCTTTTTCATTGTATACAAGTATCAGACGAGCTGACTAGATCGAAAAATTCAAACAAGACTAATAACTATATAACTTTTCTACTAGACAAAATATTTTTAGTAAATTATATCAGTTTTGGGCTCCATCAAAATCCTAGGTTATTATATTATATAATGAAGATTTACAACACAGAACACTATTACATACTTTTAACGGAGTTTTACATTTTTTTATTTACATTACAAATTTCGATTTTCCAACTCTATAATTTGACACTTCGCTGTTGTTGTTGTTTTTATTATTCGCTCGAGAGAGCAGGCAAAGGAACTAAGTCATACAGCCATGGGTTTTTTTATATTATCCTTCATAGTTCACTGCTTCACAATATGTTGATGCGTCACATTGTGCAGCCCTTGGGAGATTTTGACGGCAACTTGAGCCTGCAGACAGCTGACAGTTGGCGATGGTATCTAAAGGCGCCTATGCAGACAAACAGCTTATCTTGAGAATCCATCACCATCAGAGCACTTGTTTCACCGTTTCCACTAATAGTTCACATGCGTAGACAGTTAATACATAAAATTGCATCACTTTTACACATCAATATCCACTTCAAACTATTATTCAAACTACAGGAGCAGCAAACCACCGCCGGTCAAGTTCCCGCCAAAAAACTTGACACTTTTCACTTTGACAATATGACATTGGAGGGAGTGAGGAGTATTTATCGTAACAGATAAAAAACAGGTATCTTAAAATAGCAGACTGTAACTGTGCCAAACAAACTGAAAAAACAGCTCCTGCTCCACGAGATAACAAATCCACTAAAAGACAGTGATTTTTTTATTTATTCATTCATATTATGACAGATACCTTTGTTAGAATAAGATAAAAAAAATGTTACTGTGACACCCTGTTACTCGTCAAAAGCTCTGTCCTTTTTCCGCACAGGTTCCACACCTTAGAAAGCGAAATACCTACCAAGACTGTAGTAACAGACTACTATTTTGTGACAGGTTTTTGGAACTATTATTTATGTGGAACTAACAGGCGAAACAGATATGCGCTTTTACAGCCTACGGTTACAGCCAAAGACATTTAAGTAGTAGTAATAGACCGTACATCAGCAACAAAATGATCATCTGTTACTTTTGTCCTATAGGATATATTTTAGATTTATGTCACTTAGTCTCAGTAACATCGTCAAAAGATAAAGACGCGCTCGTTTTCTAAATTGAAAAATTTTTGTAAGACAATATGCCCGATTGTGCACTAAGGTACTCTAAGTCCCGATATGGAGCAAAAAGTGAATGTGATTTCGGTTTACTGTCGCAAAAATAATGTATATTTACCTAATATATTTTTAATTTTATTATTTCTGGTAGATTATTCCAGAAGAGTTATCATTACTGTAATAACCGCCCTCTGTTGTCCTGTAACGTCACTATTTATTAAACAAATATGACCTAATGATTGACAACGTTTGTCGATTGGTGTTATCGATAAAAAATATTATACAGGATGCCGATTTATTCATCTACATCTAGTGAAACAGTAAACGATACTGTACCCGTACCAATAAATAAATTGGGTGGGCCTGTCGGGGTACACGGCCGTTGGTGTTAATGTGAAGCGTATATGTCAGCCAGTACAAATAGTACAACCAGTCCATAAGATAGCCTTCTTTTTAAATATTTTATTACAATTCTACAACACCACGATAATTGCAGTCGCCAGCCTTTTCAAAAGGAGTAAGCTCGTTTCTTGAAGGTCCCTAAGTCGTATCGATCCGTAAAAATCGCCGATGGTAAACAATTCAAAAAGTATTCGTGCGAGGAAGAAAACTCCTAATACATCGCAGGGTAGTGGACCGCCAAGCATCAAAATGATGTGGATGGTAACGTAAGTTTTGCCGCGATGTGTGATGGTGAAATTTAGTGGCAGTAATTAATTCGAACAATTCCGCAACTCACTCCACATGGTAAATACGATAGAAAAAACAAAGGGACGCAACATCTCTACGCAGCGCCAGTGAATCGAGCCAATCAAAGAGAAATTGGTCATCAACGATTCGAGCCGCTCTGCACTCTATGCGGTCAAGTGAAAGGAGTTCGTACTGGGAAGCCCCCGCCCAGAGATGAGAACAGGATCCCATGTGAGGCCGAACCTACGCCTTGTAGTTGAAATTGAGGAGATACGGCAAAGGGGTTCTTTTTCGTATATCCTCAAATCCAGCTCAATTTTAGCGGTATACGCGCAAATTTGTGAAAGATTTGTATTATGATTTACCGTGTAACGACTTTTAATTTCAGTGCTTACCAAAATATATTTTACATTGAAAGTGTATTTTTGTAAAAGGAACGAATTTCAAAAACAGGCGCTCTCTTATTGAATTTGACGTTTCTCGATGTGTCATCTAATGGACCGAATGACATCATCCAAGATGCCACCAGTGTGACTGCTGTTTGAATAGATTCTTAGATACTGGAAATTAAATATTTCATTTCATGACAATAAAATGACGTAAAAAGTTTATATAATGTTTTTAGTTTATTCATACATATTCCCTATTATTAAAACATAAAGCCTTTCAAACTTAGTAACCTTCAACAATATTATCGATATTTTGACGCCGAAACGGTAACATTCCTAAAACGGGTTTTATCTTATATTAATTAGCGTCACCTGCTGGGGAATATCTGAAATGTTTTCCTAATAAATATTTAGCGTAGTTGTGCTATGTTTCGGTAGATGGCGTCACACACGTGCGAGCTCGTTGTATGCAATTGTATATATACAGGGTATTTGTGAAACGCTCCCGAAAACGAATACAGATGATAGTACAAAGGATCCCTTGGATCATGGGTGACAAATAAATTCGATCCTGATGAAAAAAATCATTTTTTCACAACGTTTTATTAGCTTTATTCACGCGCTATCATGTTAGTACAGTTAAATAAAACGATAGTTTCATAAAAAAAATAATGAAAATAATTAAACATGAAATCGGCAGTAGAATTACTGAATTACAATCAGCTGCCTAGGGGTCATTGTACGCTTGGAAGCTGAACTCTAGGTCCCGTTACGTAAAAGGAACGGTGGCCTTGAACCTGGACACAGCGGTTTATAAATCAAATTGGTAGTACGAAGGCGGCGCGACGGGGGAACGCTCGCCAGTATTATGCCGCCTCCACTCGCTTGGTGTTTGCCACATACACCAACAAACACCGACCACATTCACCCAACAAAAACACGGCATCCACACGCTCGGCAAACGTGCTAGTATATTCCGGATAGGCAAACATGACGGACGACGAGCTTGTGGCAGCGATTACTTTCGGGTTGACCTATTTTTATTTAAAAATAAGGCAATATGAATTGCTCTCAAGGTTATTGTATTGAAGAATTTATTTACCATAGAATCTCAAATGAATTCTCAATTATCACTGCTATAAACTGTCTTGAGGTTCAAATAAGTCTGGTTTGAACGCTTTTATTCGTTTTGCATAGCTGAATATTATGTAAAACGTGACTCTAAATTAATCTAAAAACAAACTTTTATGAAATTAATGCTTAACCGGGGAACCCCGAACTTTCGTTCGACATTATATTGAATCTATTTACTTTTCACATAGACTATCTCTTTATTCGAGGCGCCTTATACAATCTAATAGCAATATTTTCAAAACGCAGAATTGTTGATTTTTATTTTTTATTGAAGGAATATGATATAGTATTTTTAAGCGCTTCGTCAAAAGTAATAGTAGTAATGCATATGAGCCGTTTTCTTCATAAAATGTTTATTTTTAACAGCTTACAATAACATTACAAAGTTATTAATGCAGCTAGTCTTAGGCCTTTTCTTTCATAGTAAAATATAAATGTAATGTCTCTAATGAAAAATACCACTTTAAAGCTAAATATTTCACAAAAGGACCCCTGAATCGAAAATATGTTATTCAACATCCCCAATGTTTCTGAAAGACCTATCCAACGATATCCCATATGATAGAATAGACATGTAAAAAAAAAAGGGTTCCTTGTTGTGTAACTATAACGAAAGTCTAAAAACTAATAAATCGGGATATTGTAGGTACTAAACTTATCGATATATAGGATATACTAATCTTATATAATTTTTTCGAATTTTGTTTTGGGAATTGATGATACTCCTTTCACACGGGGCTCCTTATAAAAAGAGGTGAAATATTTGTTACCCAATAGAAACATTAATTAGGAGTCAATCACATTATTATTGGGAGGTCTCTAGAAAACTTAAAAAAATATAGGTGGTAGATCTACTAACTTTTCGAATTAGAATTGGTAGGAAACTCAACTTCTGAAATCATATTTACCTCCGAGACAAATTTCGGATTGGTAACATTGGCGTAGAGTATATATATAATAATAATATCCACTAGAAACTCCTTGCGCCGCCCGCAAGCCGCAAGCTCGCGCGTACCACTGACTGATTGCCAAACGTGTGGATACATCGCAAACACGTTTGTCGAACACCCTTTGATCGGTGCACAAAAACCGACACCTACGCCGATCACTGGCATACAAACAAACAAACAGTCAAACAACCATCCACACGTTCGTGATTGCTGTTTGGTGAATGCTGTTTGCCGTTGTTTGCCAAGCGTGTGGATGAGGCATTTTACGGTCTATGGTTGTGTTCAGTGCTTCAAGGACAAATGCTTCGTGCGCATTTGTTTTGTAGTTTTAGTTTTTGAGACAGTTCTGGACAGTTCCGTGTTGGATGTCGCGTGCGCGTGAGCGACAGTTCAATCGTTTTATTTATTACATTATTGTTGTTCCGTTTGGTTTTTCTTGTTTTGTTTTAATACTGCTCAACGCGTATGTACGTCTATAGTGACATGTTAATGTGCCTTGGAGAATCTCATAAGATTTAGGTCGGTAAGCTGTTTCATACCTACTTTTTTTTTAAATAACTTAGTACTGAACTCATCTGAATAGGTACATAACTGAATACATCAGAATAATAAACATATACCTACAAAAGAAGCATGACTCTAACCTTGTTAACATTTCATTTAAGTATTTTTTTATTAGCGGGGAATCGAACCAGATATTTGGTTTATTTAACCTGTGAATAAAGTGGCTAAATGGAGACTAGCACAATGGCCAAATAGTAGGTCAAATAGATAAGTTAAGTATTTAGACAAGTGTTGTAAATAATTAGGTATTGCAGTACTGCCGTATTTGCAGTATAGCCCGCGGGTTGGATTTTGAATCGTTTGGCAGGAATTTGGGGG